GCATCAATTCTTGGATATTAAGGACTTGGATAATAAAGAGAGAAATCCACAAAAACACTTTACTGAAGGGGGCGAGCGGAGGGGGGCGCGTACGTCCACTCGCGACGAGATCACGATAAACACTGCCTCTACGATGAAGGGTTTTCCTTCACCCACACACTCTTACCTCCCATAAAATCGACATATAATTGATTTTGATCATATAGTTTACTTCATATATATACAAAGTCTGCTAAATGGGCATAAAAATGGGCATTATTTCTTACTTGAATTTAGTGAGAAAATAAATATGAGGAGATTTAAGACTCTCATTTGACTTTACGCTTTAATTCGTGGGAAACTTCTTACATTCTTTCAAAATAGTATTTGTTTACATACAAAACATTAACACATTAATAAAAACTCATATAATTGTTTCTTATCTATTTTGGTATACAATTTAGCTTTACAAAAATTAATGTCCATGTGCAATAATCGAAAATAAAATCCCATCCGCCGAGAAAATTGTTGGAACAATCAGCTGTCAAGGAGACTCGTAGTAAACAAACTCGATGTAAACAAACGTAAAATCCCATGAATCTCACACAGTTACTGCTTTTGCCCCGTATAAAATCCCTGGACTCCCCGGAAACAAGGGACACAAAGCTAGAAATAAGGGAAAACGAAGGAAATAAGTCGTCCATGAGCCGTGAAGCGTAACCGGGGGGTCATAATCAGGGCAGCATGAAGAAGCGGCGGCGGCGGCGATCCTCGGGTGCACTGGAGCAGAACAGACTCACCAGACTCACTTACTCACTCGTCTTTTACACTCCTTCCTCCTCTTCCAAGACGTTTGCCGAGGATTTACAGGCTCCAGAGGAAAGTTGCTTTGAAGGTAGGTCGCTTTCGGTTGAGGATTGAGGCATGTGAACTTGGTGAGAGGATGAAAGGGAGGGGAGACTCGAGAAGGAGGAAAGGAAGATACGAGAAAAAGAAAAGGAGAGAAAGAGGAAAAGGGATTGTGATTCTTCTTCTGGAAAGGTTTTGGTCCGTGTCTCCACTTCCCTCTCTTTCCCCCTCTCTCCCTTGCTCGTAGGCAGTGACCATGTCCAGTGAGTGTCCATCTTGGATTCTAGTAATTTCCTTTTGGCATCTGGTAATTTCTTATAGTTTTAGATCATATCTCTTAGTTTCTGACTATTTGTCATGGTTTCTGATCATTTCTCTTCCTTTCAGGAGAATAGGAATATATATGTTTCAGTGTTATTATTCTAGAGGTATCTGATTAGAGATAGAATTCTCTCTTTTTGTGAAATATTTCTTATTCTGTGTGGACTCCCAATTCCTTCTGTGTATTTTTTATGTTTTCATAGAAGTTAGTTTGGGGATGTAAAGAGAGTTTGGTTGGTAATATTCTTTTATTGATATATCCTAGTTTCTTATGTGGTGTGGCTCTCTTGTTTAATATGATAGGGTTGAGATTTTCCTTGCCATATAGCGAATATGCCCAACACTAGAACTTGTAGTTGTGCTGAATTGAACCCCAGTTTAAATCCGAAACAAAATAATTTTGAAAAGTGCAGTGTCTGAATAGTTTAGGGACATTCCTTGGAATTCTTTTTACTTTACTCTTTGAAAGGCTTCAGAATATTTTTTTTCAATATTTTTGTAATATTTTAGATATAAATAATTGAAGAACATTATTTATGTTTATCAAATCTTTTTCATAGCTTATCTGTTTTGTACATGTAACTTTTAATTCATTATAGTTTCTCTATATTAACAGGGTATATATTTTTTAACTAGTGGACATTTGATAATTTTCTGAAATATTTCTTAGTTTACATTATAAGTATGATATTCAGAGTTTCATATTTAAAGTACGGTATTCCAGTCCACCTAAACATTTATTGCTGCCAAGAAAAGATAATATTTAACTGGTACTTAAATCATATGTAAAGTAATACACTGACTAAGGATTTAAGCCAGAGACCGTCCATGCGTGACTGTGAGTACATGCCAGAGTGCTGTTGCAGAAGTTCACCATATTAATATTTCAGGGAACAGGATCAAGCCACTAGATTTTTATGGAAAAAAATCATTATATAAAGCATTTATGATTTATTCTAGGACTTGATAGTATGTTCTTTAGATGTGGAAATCTGTGCAAAAATGCATTTGAAATGAAATGTCTGTATGTATATATTTTGTGGTAAAGTAATAGACAGAAGGTATTTGAAAAGATTTTATCAGCCTCTTGAGGCTGATGTAAAGTGCTTATAAAGTCACACAGATAGCAAGAATGGTGTTTGTTGGAATTATGTGAAGGATTTGGAGTGAGCAGTTTGTAAACTGGGTAAATTTGTGATGTGTTGTGTGATTGTAGCCTTTAAAGGAAATTGAGAATTATGCAGGATTCTTTTTATATAAGCTGTAATTCCCCTGCAACAAAAGCTGATGTGAGCTGTCATTTGTGGTTGCAGGGACGATGTTGAGTTCCTGCCTATTTTTTTTTTTCTTTTTTTTCTTTTTACTTTTCTTTTTTTCTTTTTCTTTTGCTCACTATTTTTATTTTAAACATCTTTCCCACTGCTCTGCCCTTTTTGCTATTTTATTTAGTTTTTATTTCTTTTCCCTTTTGACAGTTTTTATTTTCTTTATCATCTTGCTCTTTTATTTCGTATTTTTCTTTCTTCTTTTAACATATGTAGAAAATATTATGAAAACAAATAGGTAGCTTTAGCAGCTTCTTAAATAATTTTTTCTTTTTGTATTTTTATAAAGCTTGTACTATGTTTTCCTATTATTTCTTACTAGGCCATTTATTTATTTTTAGCTTTTATTATATTTTGATTTCATTGTTTTCATCTATGTGGATATATATCATAAGATTATGTATCATGTCATATTTAGTTCAATTCAGTGAAAATGTTATCCAGATATAAAACTATCAGGATATCAGAATTGTTGAAAATGTGTATCAGAATGGTCAGTTAATATTTTTACTAAAATGATAATGAGAATTTTGATAAGATGCATTTGGAAACTTAATTAGATAGGATGGATTATAATATTCATTTCTGTCCAGTAGGGATAATTGTAGAAGGTATGTTATTTCCTTTTTCTCTTTTTTTTTTCTGTTTTCATGTTATTAATCAAATTATTTACCACAGAATATTAATCAGAATTGAAAGGATTAAGCAGAAATCCTCTATATCAGGAAAAAAAATAAGAAATTTATTTTTCTAACTTTTCTGCCAATTTATTGCAAAGAATGTTGCATCACTTTTCTGGTTCTTTTGTAACAGGAATTCCAAGATGAGTGGACAATCTCTCACACTCCCTACAGACGCTGAAATTCACGACAGCATTACCAACATAGCAATATGGCTGGAGACACACAGTCATGCTGGGCCACAGTGAGTGATGATACAGTTGTATAAAACGGATTATGCTACTGATATTTTTGCATTATTAAGTTTCCTTCAATTTGATTTTAATGTAGATGAATGAAAATAATGACACGGAATTTATATACTCTTTAAGAATAATAGAATAATTAAGTCTAGGGAACAGTTGATTTTCCCATCTATAATATATACTAATGGAAGAAAAATAGTGGATTGAGCTACTACTGATAGTCTTTTTTAATGGCTCAAATTTTGAAGGAATTTTATGTATTGTAAAAAATTGAAATAATTCACAGGGAACATAATATTAATCAATGTACTCTTCCAGAGTTTTAATTTTTACAATAAGAATTTAGAATTATGAAGTTAAATTTAGCTTTACAATCCAAACCATATATATAGAAATATTATTTTACAAAAAAGTAAAACATGAACCCATTTTGCATTGTAGTCTGTTCAAATCAGAAATTTTTGACTTACTCTACAGGCAGACACCTGAGGAGATAACGGCCCTTGACCTGGCTGTAGCTGTGCCGGGAGAGTGCTTCTTCCCCGAGCTTTGTGCGGAAAATGAAGAGGCATCCCACGAAGAAGAGAAGGGAATCCTCGTGTACACGGACAGTAGTGAAGGTAGATTTTTTCCTTCTTCTTTTTTTCTCTCTGATTTATTAGGTCTGTTATTGATAATGGATTTTTTTTTTACTTATTTTTTGTTGATTTTTAAAATTATAGATTATTATAATTTCAATTTTAGCTTCTTATTATATTCTGTTCTGTGTTATAGTCATGACAGGCAGTACTGATTGTGACAACCAGTCATTATTTTCTGGAAATTTCTATTGGATATGACACAGATAAGTACATATGGCTTATGGGTGATTGGCATCCCCTGGAGAGAGTTCTGAACATCACGTCCTCGAAGGCAGGATGGGTGCGGGTAAGTTGAGAAAATGAGATTACTTTGGCCTCTCACAGTGATTTAATTGAAAAAGAATTTGTTGTACTGAATACATTGGAAACTAAAAATCTAAAGACTAAAAATCAAAAGAATAAAACTTGACTTAAACCTCAGACAACGTGCTTAGGAGAGCGGTTGCTGGTGCTGGTGCTAACACAGCTTGACTACACAGCACGAGAAGCTGAGGCAGAAGTGCCTTATGGGTGCTGCCCCTTGAACGACCCTACATACCTCCTGTGGCATGATCACAGGCCATCTGGCATGTGCTCTATCAAAAGGAAAGGTCAGTTTACATTTATAATATATAATATGTATGTATACATTGTACTGGCCCTCCATTTTCATACCCGGAGTGACCTGGGCTTGAAGCCTTTTCAGGGAGGGTTGTTATTTATTTATATCAATGCAGCATTGCATTATTCCATCTTTCATAAATAGACCTCAGTACATCTGACTTAGGATTTGAATTGCTAAATTAATTTCCACGAAGTGCTCACAGTGAGTGTTTGTAAAACTTCGCCATCATTACTCTGGTATGAGTAGATAGGTAATGTCTATGGAGGTAGTGAGGTCCTAGTTGCACACTCTTTTTAGCAGGTCATGTAGCATGATTGGTTTAGTACTGGGCCTCCAGTTTCATACCTGGAGTGACC